TGATTTGGTTTTATTTTAAATGATTTGGTTTTATTTTAAATGATTTGGTTTTATTTTAGGTTTAGGGGTTAATTTTAGGTTTAGCGTTTACAGCGTGCTTCTGTCTCCGCGCTGTTGTCGCGCTGTTGATGACGTCAGCTACGCGGTTTAGTCGAGCGCGGTTTAGTCGGACGCAGTTTTGTGGTGGAACCCGCAGGGTGAGCTGAGGGAAGGACCAGGGGCTCAACCCATTGGGTGGTCTGAAACCTGGACCGTCAGCTTTCTCCTCAGTTCTAGGTGGCTTCCCTCCTTGATTAGTTTCCATTCATGGCTTCTTGTCTTGCCTTCTGATGCTTTCAAGAATCGGTTGAGACCCCTCTTCTTTGTGGTAACTCCTCAGATATTGGAACACTGCTATTATGTCTCCCCTACTGCTACTTTTCACTAAACTAGACAAACACAATTCCTGCAACTGTTCTTTGTAAGTTTTGCTTCCAGCCTCTTAATCCTTCTTTTTGCTCTTTTCCGCACTCTTTCTAGAGTCTCTACATCTTTTTTATAATACGGTGACCAAATTTGGATCAAAAACTTTCTAGTTGACAACCTCAGGGTCTTTAAGCCACTGTGCCTCTCTCATACTAATATTTCATATCACCAGTCTGGTACAGGGCAAAACTCTCTCACAAGGTTGATACGCCTACCTCTTTCAAGGCAGTTTGCACCATCCCTAATCTTTCGGAAGGAAGCATTGAGCTGGGAGGGTCTGGGGATTCGATTCCAGGTCCTGCAGGAAATGAAAACGAGACATTGCAATAAGAAGAGGCGAACTTAAGCGGCTGGACAAAACAGCTGCCCACAAGGGCTTGTTGCGTTCTGAACCAGGGAGAATCTTTGCAAGAAGGAATTTTGAAACTGAACAACGGTGAGAAATTGCCTCTCTTGCAACCCCCCCTTTCGTTTCCATTTTTTAGAAATCGCTGGTCGGTTTTCTTTTCCCACATATCTTCCTGTAAAGGTAAAGGTTCCCCTTGCACATATGTGCTAGTCGTTCCCAACTCTAGAGGGCGGGGCTCATCTCCGTTTCTAAGCCGCTGCCCGAAGGCCTCTCCATGGCCATGTAGCCGGCATGACTAAATGCCGAAGGCACACGGAACGCTGTTACCTTCCCACCAAAAGTGGTCCCTATATTTCTTCTTGCATTTTTACACGCTTTCGAACTGCTAGGTTGGCAGGAGCTGGGACAAGTAATGGAAGCTCACTCCGTTAGGGATTCGAACCGCCGAATTGCGGACCTTTCTGATTGACGAGCTAAGCGTCTTAGCCACTGAGCCACCGCTTCCCTCCTCCTGTATGTCCATCTAATTCCTTTTCAGGGTGGACAGGATGTCCTTCCCTCCTATATAGGTTGAGCCTGAAATGTTTGACTGAAGTCTGCTTTGATCAAGGAGTTCCACTCTGGCCAGGATTATTGCAAGATTCTTACACAAAATACCGATCAAATCAGGAAAAAAACATATTTAAAGTGATGGTTTCCGATCCAAATCACTCTTCTGTGAAACCGGTATTTTTTTCAACCTTGGCAGTCACAAGATGTTGGAGTTTAACTGTTGTAAATATATGAGGGTTTCTAAGGACCTGAATTTTGATTATGGGACATTATGGATATGCTGTGACAATCATAATTGCGAGCATCGGTCATAAATCACCTTTTTTAGTTGCACTCAAATTTGAATGGTGGCTAAATAAACACGTCTTTGACATAGAAATGTTTATTTCTATTTTCATGCCTGAGCACCTGAATTTTTTTCACAGATATTTCAC